GGCCCAGCACAGACGTCAACGCTTCCATCTCCACGCCCGTCCGGCCAAAACAGTGTACCGTCGACGTGACCAAGACACTACCATGCGGATCCGGACCGCTGCCGGTTTCAGCGCCCAACTCCGATGGCGGACAGGCACGAACATCGACTTCTATCCCCGTGATTCCCAAACCTGGGTGGGCCAACGGAACGATATCTGCCGTCCTCTTCGCCGCCATGATGCCCGCTATACGCGCGACGGAAAGCACGTCGCCTTTCTTCGTATAACCTTCGCCTGTCGTCAGAAGGGAGTACGGTGTCGCGTTGGAGAAAGTTATTCTGCAAACTGCGGTGGCGAGGCGGTTTGTTTCTGGCTTGTGAGAGATGGATGTCATGTGCACATTCTCCTCGCGGGTTAGGTGCGGCAGGACAGGATGTGAAGCTATAGGCAGGTCTGAGATAGGAGCCTTGGTGGGCTGATCAGACCCAGAGGAGGAGGTAGGAGAGTGCTTTGGTCGCTTTGTGGAGTACGTGCGGCATACTGATGGAGAGGTCCATGGGAGAATGTGGGTTGGGATGTTAGCCCAGGGTTTTGACAGCCGTAACGAGTTGCTGTGCATATTTATGCCGGGGCGCATGCCAAATGTAGCGGAAGGATGTATGGATTGGCGCTCATCTAATCAAAGTTCAATCAGCAACTTTCAATGAAGCATTAGATATCCAACAAGTGACAACTGATTTCATTGGTATAAGGTTATCATCATTCGTAAGACTCAATTGTCCAAATCCCAACACACAGATACGCCAAATTCCCTTCCAGTGCACCTGTCCAAACGGTATAAAATGTAAACCTACCCACCAATCAATATCATGGGCCGATTCTTCATATTCTTCAGCTCTCCCATGCCTGCATGTTTTGCCTTTTTCCGCTTCACTGCTGCGCCGATAATATCCAGCAGTTGCTGTTCCCGCTCATTCACAGCATGTCCCATCTGTTCTGCTTGGGCTGATTGTCGAGCGGATTCTAATAGGCCGAGAGATTCGAAAGCTTGGGCATCAATCGGCTGCCCGTCGTTTCCCTTTCTAATCATATCCCGAAGTGACACTTCGGCGTTTCCAAAGAGGCAAACTTTCAAGTTCCCATCACTTGTAATGCGAAGACGGTTGCAGGTCCCGCAAAAGTTGTGCGTCATGCTCGTGATAAAGCCAACCCGTCCCGCAAACCCAGGAACCTGATACGTCTTGCTGGTATCATTCTTGTGGTCCGTGACTTTCTTCAGATTTGGGTACTTTTCCCGGATGACGCTGAGCATTTCTTTATATGGGAACATCTTGCCCTGGCTCCATTTGTTCCCATCAAACGGCATATATTCAATGAATCGCACCTCGATCGGCTGATCGCGGCCCAGCTCCACAAAGGGCAGGATCTCCCTATCGTTCAGGCCGCGCATGACCACACAGTTGATTTTCAGCTTAATCCCAGCACCACGCCTGTTCATTTCCAGAATCCGATCAATACTCTTCATCACCGCATCCAGGCCCTTTCGACGTGTCATGAGTTGGAATTGGAAAGGGTCTAATGTGTCCAGGCTCAGGTTCACTCCCGTAAGCCCCGCTTCGGCCATGCTGTCAAGCTTCCGGTGTAAAGAAATGCCATTCGTTGTTAGGCACAGCACCCGCAGCCCATCCCGTC